GAGGGTACCTGTCAGATCCCCTGGAGCTGGAGTCACAATCATTTGTAAAGCACCCAATGAGGGCTCTGGGAACTGAGCACAGGTCTTCCAGAAAAACAAATGCTCTTAACCGCCAGACCATCTGCCCAGCCCCCACCCCTTCTTCCCTCCTTCTTTCTTTAATCTTTTTGACTTTACAAGACAGGGTTTCTCTGTGTTGCCCGACTGTCCTGGACCTGGATCTGCAGATCAGGCTGGCCTTGAACTCAGAGATCCACCTGCCTCTGCTTCAGTACTGGGATTAAAGGCGCGCACTGCCTGGCCTTTCTTTAAAGACAGGGTCTGGACTTGTAGGCAACCTAAGCTGACCTCAAACTCACGATCCTCCTGCCTCTGTCTCTTGAGTGCCAGGATTCCTGGTGAACATTACCACACCCGACATTCCAAAAGTGTTTTCTGTGTGAATCGGAATTTGGGGCTGTTTGAGGCCTTCTCACACAGAATCATACTTAGTACATGAAGTCATTCTGCTAGTCAGAAAGCCCCTTCCCCTCCCACTCACAACTCGGTTGCATTTCTTCTCCCAGTTCAACCTTTACTGGGATTTTTTGGTTTTTTGTTTTGTTTTTCAAGACAGGGTTTCTCTGTGTAGCCTTCACTGTTCTGGAATTCACTATGTAGACCAGGCTGTCCTTGAACTCACAGAGATCACCTATCTCTGCCTCCCCAGTGCTGGGATTAAAGGTGTGAGCCACCACCACCTGAATGTACTGGAAATTTTATCACATTATTGTTAATCCCACCTCACTCCAAATGTGCAGTTCTCATCCTAGACTTGATAGTAAAGCATTTATTTCCATGTGCCTGGTAGTGACTGCATTGACACCAGTGCTGACAAGCCTGTCGGATAATAAGTTCCATGAGGACACAGAGCAGGCCTTCTGGCTGGTGGCATCTCTCTATATATATGTTCTAGCTAGTGGCATCTCTCTCTATATATATATATGTTCTAGCTAGTGGCATCTCTCTCTCTATATGCTCTGCTTAGTGGTCCTGAGCAAGTGTTTTGGACTAAGATTACCTGCTGAACACTCACTCAAATGTGAGTGATGGGGATGAGGTATTATGTGAGACAGGGTCTCATTCTCGTGTAGCTGGGGCTGGCCTCAAACTCCCAACCCTCCCGCCACCATCTCCCACGTAATGGGCTCTCATTCGTGAACCAACACACCCGGCTAATGGATTAAGAACTTTTAAGATGAATGCATGCAGATGTTTCTGACCCTCCTACTTTTATCCAGGCTGAGTTCTTCCAAGGGAGGAGTCCCACAGAAATGTCTCTGCACTTGAAAAGGGATTAGGGAAGATGAGAAGTACCTCTCTGAGAGCCCCTGGACCGGGTAGCCCGCCCAGTTCCCATCACACAAACATGACACACCGTGGCAGCGTCCTGTGAATAATGCCTTACTAACAGAACCGAGCTGAGTTTCCAGGTAGTGAGAAGGAGAACACATCATCATCGTGTAACAGGCGAGGACACACTTGACAAGAAGGCTCATTGTTCACCTTCACGCAGGACAGTGGAGCTACCCCACCCTAACGCCAAAAGCAAGTGGACTTTGATGAAAGAGAATGCGCAATAGGACACTAAGAACCACTGCGTGTGGTGGCACAGCTCCGGGATCCCAGCATTTCAAGGGTCTTTGTGAGTTTGGGGGCAGCCTGGTTTACATAATGAGCGGCCACACATGGCTATGGCCTGGGTTTTACACCGGTGCTTAGGATTCTGACTCAGGTCTTTGCGCTTACACATCAAGCACTCTTACCACCGAGCCATCTCCTCTGCACCTATAGACTAAAAAATTGGTCCTTGGCAGATGTCATGTGTAAAATAAATCACCAACAAGATCTCAAAAATGTTTTCTGGATACTTTAACGGAAGCACTGCCTATCTTCATACCATTCAAATCTTCATTATTAACCAGATAATTCAGACCCTCTAACTTGGTGGTTGTCAAGCATTTTCTGTAATGGCAGTAAGAAGTTTGGGCTCTGGAAGCTGTGACTTTGTAACATAAAAGCGGCCACAAATAATATAAAAACAAATGAGCATTAACACTTCCCCATGAAACTTTTCCTTTTTTTTTGGTTTTTTTGTTTGTTTGTTTGTTTTTTGTTTAAGACAGGCTTTCTCTGTGTAGCTTTGGAACCTGTCCTGGAACTCACTCTGTAGACCAGCTGGCCTTGAACTCACTGAGATCCACTTGCCTTTGCTTCCCAAGTGCTGGGATTAAAGGTGTGAGCCACTACCACACAGCCCTGATGAAACTCTTTAATCCCAGCACTTAGGAAGCTCAGACAAGTGGATTTCAGTGAGTTTGAGGCCAGCCGGGTCTACAGAGTTCCGGGACTGACACACAGAGGAACCCTGTCTCAAAAGAGAGACACGAGGAGGGGGGTTATGGAAGGAGGGAGGGAGGGAGGGAGGAAGGAAGGAAGGAAGGAAGGAAGGAAGGAAGGAAGGAAGGAAGGAAGAAACTATTAAGTAAAAAACAAAACTACGGGCTATTTTGGACCATAGCCCATACTCATAGTTTGCTACCCCTGCTCTATCCGATGGAATTTATCCAAATGGTCGTGAATGTTTACCAAAAGCTGAGTGTCATTTAGAACACAAGAATCTGAAAAATCTAAAATAAACATACAAGCTCGGTGCAGTGGGGCACACCTATAATCCCAGCCACTTGAAACAGAGAAAGTGTAAAAGCATTTGAGTTCTGGAGTTTGGAATGTTCCAGGGCAAGTGATAAAGACTTGGTCTCAAAATGAAAGGAGAGAGAGAAGGAAGAAAGGCCATTAAAACAAAAATAAAGGGGGCATGGTGATGCATGCCTTAGTCTCAGCACTTGGGAAGCAACGAGTTCAAGGTCAGCCGCTCTATGTGGTAAATTCTAGGCCAGCCAGGGCCACAATGACACCTTGATGCAAAAGGGGGTGGTTAAAATACAAACACTGAGTTTTTGGAAGCACTGAGAATATAGAAGTAAGTTTGATTGGGGGCAGCCTGGTCTACACAGCGGCTTCCAGGTCAGTCAAGGCTATTTCAATCCCTTTTTCAAAACAATAGCAGGAGCTGACAAGTGGTAAGGGCGCTTGCCGCCAAGCCTAAGGACCCCAGTTCCATACACAAGACACATCGTGGCAAGAGTAAACCAAGTCCCTCAAGTTGTCCCTTGGCCATCACATGGGCACTGTGGCATGCTCACACCTACAGACAGAGGGGATGAGACTCCAACAAACAAGAAAAGGGTCAGCCTTGCTCTGAAGGTCAGATCGCCTCAAGTGAAAATCCTGTTGGATTTACTGCCCACTGTGTGATCACACCGTTCCGTCTGTGGATCTCCAGAAAGAACAGTGGAACCCTCCATCAGAATTCCTCCTCACACTCGGTTACCTCTCAAGAATGGAATAAACAGAATTGAAAATGCAAGTTTTCAGCCAGTCACAGAAGGAGACTGTGCAGCCACGGGGAAGCAAGGATCTACACACAGAGAAAGAGGATCTAGGATCTACACTGAAAACATGCTTGGGCATCCCCAAAGACCCCCTCAGCATAGGGACCTCAGGGACAGGTGGCTGCTTGAAAAGTTACATGTTTCTGCAGAACCAGGAAACATTGGACTGCCTGGCGCCAGGTAGAGACCCTTCTTGGGAAATCACAGAGATGGCCCTGGCTGTCCCTTCCCTTTGGGCCTAGAGGCCAGCCTCTCCATTCTTGCTTTGATCCTAGGGCGGCTCCTCCCAACCCTTCCTCCCTTCCTTCTGTCTGTGGTGGCCAGGGCACAATCCCCTAAGGGTGGAGTGCTGGCTTCACCCTCCTCTCCAAGTCCCCATGCCATTGTGTCTGAAGTGGCTAAAGAATTCTCCTTCAGGAATGAGCTCAGAAGCAGTGGCTGATTCCCAAGGACCCTTCACAGGCTTCAACAAATGCCTCTGAGAAGAAAGCTGGGCTGCAGAAAAGTAAAGGAATGTTGGTCCAGGCAGGCTTTGCCATTTAGGAGCCTACAGTATAGATGTTTAAGGCACAGTTTTGGTCAGGTGTGGTGACCAATGCCTATAATCCCAGCACCCTGGAAGCTGAGGCAGAAAGGACGGTTACAAACTCGAGATCAGCCTGAATATCTAAAAAAATAAAATAAAAACAACAGCCACCATTTCCTGTCTTCAGATTCATGAGATCAGCCAACCTGCCCCTGCGTACCACTGTGTGCCGTGTGTCTCCTCTGGCAAGATGAGCTTTCCACCCTCTCGCTGGCCAGGCAGGAGTTAGAGGGAGAAAGGTCCCGGAGGGGGGGGCACTGGGGAAAGCAAAGGGGGCGTGGAGGAACACCAGGGGGTCTTTGTTCTGTCACCCCTGAATGTAAGGGTTTTGAGGAAAATCTATCTAGAAGTCTCTCTTTGAGCCTTGTCTCCTCTGGGAAAGAAACAGCTTACCCCACCCCCGCCGCCCCCCACCCCGTTGCCCCCTGCCCCCCCACTCTATTCATTCACCATCCCTTGAAACTCAGATGGGAGTTGGAAGCTCAGTAACAACCCGTCTTTCACCAGGTGCTCAGCAGCAACTGGCAGTAGCCTAGAGCAGTCCAAGACGTACATCTTTTCATTTCGGTATTTAAAAATATTGTTTTTATGTTTCGAGACAGGGACTAATGTAGCCCAGGCTGACCTGGAACTCGGTATGTAGTCGAGGCTGGCCTTGAACTCTTAATCCTGTACCTTCCAAGCCTGGGCTACAATTCGAGACTGCTTGCTTATTGGTCTTTCCCCTGTCTTAACCTGGGAAGCCCAGAGAACGCACTCCGCACTCGGAGGGGAGTGAAGTAAAGGCATTACCTTCTCGGTTCCAGCGGTTTCTCCTAGCCCGCCAAAGCCCATCACAGGTTGTCTACGCTCTCCGGCCCCACGGCTCCCCATGCCCCTCTCTCCGGATTTAAAGCTGGGGCCCCGCGTGCCCTTCTTACCTGGGCGCCGGGGCGCTGGGGGTGAACCGAGAACTTGCTACCCCTGGCTGCTGAGCACGTCCCGGGACAACGATCCCGCCTTGGCCCGGCAGAGCAGTTATAAAGGCTTCTGTCGCCGGAGGGAGGGAGAGGGTGAACCGAGGGACAGGGGGCGGGGCGGGGCGGGGGTAGAGGACACGCCTAATCCAGTTCCGCGGCACTTCTCGCTGTTATGAAAATAAAGTCACCGTGCCAGAGAATGAACCGAAAGCCTCCCTGACGTCAGAATCACAGTCACTCATGAAATAGGGTGGCGGGGCTGTGGGCTGAGCACCCGAGTGTGCCATGCGTATAGCTCCCCACGACCCGGAGCGCTGGTAAGAAAAAGGCCACACGGTGAACCCAGCTATGGATGGGCGCTGCTGGCTGGCGTCTCCTAGAGGGAGCCACACCCGTTCTCCCCCAGGGCACTCCGGAGCCCCAAGGGCGAAGACCTAGCCAGCAGCTCCTTTGTTACTTTGTGCGGCAGAAGCAGGTCTTCATTTTCCCCCTTGGCATCACCCCCATCACTCTTCCTCCGGCGCACAGGGAGCCAGGCTTATAGAAAAGAGATGGCCACCCACTTGTGGGTCTCCCAGTCAAGGTGAAGGAGGAAAAGACCGAGGAAAAGTTCCCCGGGGACCCAAAGATGGATCGGCAAAGCCCCTTGTGGGAACTGCAGTGGCATAACCGGGTTAGAATAGCCCTGGGCAGAGAGATCATATTGGCATCTTCCTAACTAGCTCTCCAAAAGTGTGACAAAGCGGGTTGATAGGAGCAGGACACCTGATAAAATTTTGAAACGAAGGAATTTGCCTTCGGTGTCTGATTCCACCTGTTTGGGCAGGTGCCCGCAGCTCTTCCATTAGCAGGCCGGTCTGGCTGACACCGTGCAATGGTCAGAAAGTCCTGGAATGTGTTGCTGGGTTGGGTTCTACCCCGACGCCTCGGTGGGCTTGGGCAATTGGACATTTAAGGTGGTGAGGAAGGCCTAGGACCGTCGTTCTCAACCTTCCTGTGCTGCGACCCTTTAATACAGTCCTCCCTGCTGTGTGGTGACCCCAACCATAAAATTATTTCCATTGCTACTTCATAACTGTAAATTTGTTACTGTTAGGACTCTCAATGTAAACATCTGTGTTTTCCCATGGTCTTGGGTGACCCCTGTGAAAAGGTTGTTCGGCTCCCACAGTGGTTTCAATCCACCAGTTGAGAACCTAGGGAAACCAAAAAAAAAAATCTCCTTTCTTCGCTCCACACCCTTACGTGCTTTTTAAAATGTAACAAGCTGGGCATGGTGGTGCACCCCTTGGTCGCAACACTTGGGAGGTGGATGCAGGGGGATGCAGAGTTTGAGGTCATCCTGGACTACAGAAGGCCATGTCCCCAAAAACAAAAGCAGAAGGTGGCTTGCTGCAAATGGCGGTGCATGCCTGTAATGTCAGCATCCGGGAGACTGAAACAGGAAGATGCCCACCAGCCGGCACCACAGCGGGGCAGGGAGAACTACTGGCAAGAGCCTATCTCAGAAAGGCACAGGAGATGGCTTAGCCAAGAAAGCTTGTGTTGCCCAGCCTGCTAGCCCAAAATCCACATGAAGGTCGAAGGTCAACGAAGTCCCAGAAGAGAACAAAACAACTGTCCTCTGACCTGGTGAGTGAAACACACACACAACGCAATAGAAAAAAAAGAGACAGAAAGAACGACTCTCATGAGCTTATGTTATGGTGTGCAAGGTACTGGGTTCAAGCCCCAAGATGGAAACAATCTGAGGCTTTGGAGACCATGCCTCTGTTGATCTCATGGCCAGGAAACCACAGCCAGTACTTTGACTCGGCCGTTTACCTAGAGGCGCAGGTCAGAGGTCTTCAAGCACACCTTTCTCTCCTGGAGCTGAGCAAGGGACAGGGTCTTTGAGAACGACAGGGCTGGAAAGGGCTTCTCTCTGAACTTCTACTACCTCATCTACAAAAATCTGAACTAGACCATTGCACAACAGAACCATAACCAGCCTGCAAATTCTAGCCACATATGTATACATGGAAGAGCACTGTTTCCAGCAGCTGAGTTATAAGAAGTAAAAGGACACAGGGGAGCTGGGCATGGTGGCTCACACTCATTGTCCCAGCACTTGAGAGACTGAAGCAGGGGGACTGTTACTGATTCAAACCTACATATTAAGTGCCACACCTGGGCTATAAAGTGAGACCTTATCTCGAGAAGAAGAAGAAGAAGAAAAAAGGAAGAAGAAGAAATGAGAGAAAACGGAATTAACTCTATCATATATTTAACTCAATAGATCCCAAATAGGGTGATCGCAACACATTATCCATCTTTTAGAATACGAGGCCGGGGGTGAGGAGGATGGAGCGATGACTCAGCAGTTAAGAACACTGATCTTCCAGGGGACTTCAGGTCAATCCCCAGCAGTCACATGGTGGCTTGTAACTGTCACTCCAATTTCAGGGGACCTGATGCCCACTTCTGGCTTCCATGGGTACCCATTACACACACAGTACACAAACACACATGCAGACAAAACACTCATCCACGGAAAACAATTCTTTTTAACGAAGCAAGGGGCAGGCCAGATGGACAGCTCGTGGTCAAAAGTGCTGTCATGAAGCCTGATTACTGAGTTTTATCCGAGTCCCACATAGAAGGAGAGAAACAACTTCTGCAAATTGCCCTCTGACCTCCACGTGTGTGCTGTGGCATGTACTCAGACACTAAATACATAAGCGCACAAAAATGTAATTTTAAATTGGTTTTTAATTATACATAAATAGAATGCAGAACTAGACATGATGACATATGACCATAATTCCAGCACTTGGGAGCCTGATACTGGAGGATGTTGAGTTCAATTATATCCTGAGATACACAGTGAGGCTTTGTTAAAAAAAATACTGAGTTATTTTGCATTACTTTGTGAAACTATGTCCATGCCAGTTTAGACCGGCCATAGATCAGGGGTTCAAAAGTCATGCACAGCACAGAGCTAGCTGTCACTGAGGGCACGTCCAGCCCTGACATTTCAGGGTCTGAGTCACTATGTCTTGGGTGAGGCTCATGACATCAAGCATAAGATGTAAGGTCTGAGGTGGAAGCAAGAGCAGAGGGGACAAGATTTCTTCTTCGCCACCTGCCCCTGCCCTAATGTCCATTACACTCTAAAATCTAGAGTCTAGCTAATGTCTGGCTGATTGGCCCAGGCCTATGGCTAAGAGATCCCTTGTACAGGAAGGCTCTCTCTCTCTCTCTTTCTCTCTCTCTCTCTCTGTCTCTGTCTCTCTGTCTCTGTCTCTCTGTCTCTGTCTCTCTGTCTTTGTGTCTGTCTCTCTGTCTCTGTCTCTCTGTCTCTGTCTCTCTGTCTTTGTGTCTGTCTCTCTCTCTGTCTCTCTGTCTCTGTCTCTTTCTCTGTCTCTCTGTCTTTGTGTCTGTCTCTCTCTGTCTCTCTGTCTCTGTCTCTCTCTCTGTCTCTCTCTCTCTGTCTCTGTCTCTCTCTCTCTCTCTCCCTCATCCCTAGATTTCACTTTGCCATTGATTTTGGATGACCACCTGTCATGTAGGAATTTCCTCCTAACTGAAACATTTGCCTCCTGGAGGAAAATTCATAAGACTCAGGAGCTAATGAGAGTTCCACGGCCCCACCCCAAGGTTACATAAGCAGTTAGCAATTATTAGAGTGGAGACTCTATGGTGGAGATGCCTGCAAGCTGGGCAGAAAGCACCAAGGATACTTTCATGAGTCATCACCCAGTGCTGGAGTGGACTTCTTAGTGCTACCTTTGAGTCACCCATGCTCCCATAAGTCACCCTTTAAACATGCCCTGGAGAGTAACCCAGTGAGCTGACTGGTTCACTGGGATAGACTTGGGTGGAACTGTTTCTTGGGGCTGTAGTCAGGGCCCTGTCTGGACTGGGCAGACATTTGTTCATGTCACCCTGGGGAAGGTCCTGGAACAATGCCTATCCTCCTTTGCTTTTTTAAAAATGTATTTTTTTATTGCATGAGTATTCTGCTTGCACGTATGTATGTGTGTATGTATGTATGTATTACATATGTGTACCATGTGCAGTCCTGGTACCCAAGGCTATCAGATCCCCTGGAACTGGAGTTACAGATGGTTGTGAGTGGCCATGTGGGTGTTGGGAACCAAACCTGGGTCTTCTGTAAAAGCAACCAGTGTTCTTACCCACTAAGCCATCTCATCAGTCCATATCATGTAAAGTTGGCCTGTGAGTCCCCCATAGTAGTTCATACAATGGGAGGCTGAGATAAGGAGATTGCTATGAGTTTAAGGCCATCTCGGGCTAGATAGTGAATCCAAGTGTTGTGGAATAATCTCTCTGTACGCCGTAAAGATGTGTCACTCTGATTGGTTTAATAAAAAGCTAAGATTTGCAGGGCTAGGGACACATCTTACTTAGTGGTGGAACCCTTGACTAGCATGTAAGAAGAATGAGGCCTTGTGCTCTATCCCCCGTGCCGCAAATAAATAATACATAGTTCATATAATTAAGAAATAAAATTTAAAACTATAAATAAGGGGCTCGAGAGATGACTCAGCAGTTAAGAGCACAGGCTGCTCTTCCAAAGGACCTGGGTTCAATTCCCAGCACCCACATGGCAGCTCACAACTGCCTGTAACTCCAGTTCCAGGGATACTGGCGCCTTCACACAGATATGCATGCAGGCAAAACACCAACGTACATGAAACAATTACAGATTTTTAAAAAGATAAATAAACCCTTTCATCCCCAATTTGCTTTAAAAATAAATTCAATAAATAATAAAATTAAGCAAATAACAGGCTATGAAAGCAAAGACTTAGGAGTCACTGAAACAAGTAGTCTAAAGTGTGAGCACGTGGTGGATAGTGTTGTTTGATAACGAAGAAGGGAAGAGTGGATGAGAGAGAAGAGAGAGGAGTGTGGAAGCCCTTGCTCTGCTGCAGGCCGCTTGGGAGGAAGCCTTAGACTCCCTGAGGCCGGACACAGCTCTGCCTCAGCTTGGGGTCTGGGATCTCAAGCTCTGCTGACACCTCCATCAGTGGGCTCCCACAAACACCACATGATGTCCGGCTCAGTGGCCTACTCTTGACTCAGCCACCAATGCTGGGCTTTCCTCTT